CCCCACCGCGGCGCGCGCGGCCCTTGGAACGGGGTCGTGCCGTGGCGTGCAGCCGCGCGCTTGAGCCCAGCGCCCGCTTAGGTTACTTCAGCGGTGGCAACTTTCGGGCGCGGCGCGGCGGCGCTCTGACGTAAGGCCGCGCCGCGGCGCGCTGCTTTCTCGCGGGCCGGGCGGGGATGCGCTTCCATGCTCAGTAGTTTGGGGCGCGCTGTTACCTCACGGCTCGTGGCTTCTTGGCGGGCCGCGAGGATACCTCAATGCGGCCTCCAGGTCGCAGAGACCGTCGTCCTGATGATTGGGCCCTGGGCCTTTTTAAGGCGGCAGAGTGGCGGTGGCGCGGACCCCAGACCCGACGCACCGCCCAAGCCAAGTCCTGACCACCCCGGGTACATCGGCGACCAGGGGAACAACTGCAGTTGTGTCCCTCGGGGCCTGTCTGGACTGGACGGGGAGGCAAAAGCGACGGCCTCGCCCGACAAGCTCGGTCGGAGACCGCGACCAGGCGGCCAGCCATCGTCGTGGACGATGCCGTCGACGTCCTTATTCCGCGTTCCTCTCTGGCCGGGGCCGGCCGGTGGCCGGTGAAAGTGTCGGTGCCGTGGAGGTGAGGTGAGGGCGGCTGGGAGGTGAAGCGCGAGGCTGGCCTGTGCTCGCGCCGCTGCCGACGCCCTGCTTCCGGTGGGCAGTGAACACAGCCTTGCTGTGCGCTTGTCCTCGACGGCGTCTCGCCTCGCGCAGACAGTTTGCTGACTTGCTTCACGGTCGCATGGGCCGGTGGTTGCCGAAAGGGGGGGGGGGGGCTGGCCGACAGTCACCCTTGCGCCACCTCTTCCTCCGGGCAAGCATGCTCTTCGCCCAGGTGGCGAGCTGCCCGCCCGGAGAATGGCTCGGGCATTTTTTAATTGTCTCCCGTGGCAAGTCGTCTCGCCGGCCTGCCCTGTCGGGCCGGGCGGGGACCGGCATGTGCGGCATGTGCCTCCTCAACAGGTTCGGCAACGGATATGTCGCTCGGGATGTGAATTACAACAACTCGTTGAACGGGTGTGGCGTGCCTTTTGCTCGTGGTTACGAGTCTGAGATGTTATCCTTTGCCGGTCTGTTTTGTATGTGTGTATGTGGACGCCGTTGCCTTGCTCTCTCGCGTAATTTGTCCGTTAACGTTTTCATCGTGCTTGTGCTCGGCTTTGGCGGCGACGGCTGGCGAGACGCACTTTAAAACTCGCACTCTGCTGCCTTAACCGCCAATACCCCCCCCC